GAAAATAGAAATTAGTATGTTCTCAAAACATTGAACGCATACACGACATAACTCTCATTAGACTGCTTATCGAATTCACATAATTCACAACTTGAGTTTTAAGTTACTTGTAGCCCAGTTGTTCATAGGCAATTCACGAAAGTAGCAGTCGTTATAATCAGTATAACTAACGTTTTTTTTCTCCGACTCTTATTTTAATAAGGCATTTACTTTTTCATAACTGTCAATTTGTAACGACCATCGCTGAAATGCGGATACTGAACACATAGCGTATGTTCTATATACCCACGTCGTACATTAAATTACTTGCGAGTGAGAAAAGATTTAATCCAATTTTGTGAAGCGAATTTACGTGATTGCGATGACAATTTAACTTGGTTAAATTTCTAATAAGCTGTCATTTTGATAGGCTAAGCCTCTCTTTGACGCCCTGTCACTAATGATTTTATTTGTGACATCCCATAATAGTGTGCGTCGTGCGTAGTAATTTTCCAACACGTCACCATCACGTGATCTATTATGGCGACTACCCGACTCTTAATTTTCATATCACACTTGTAATACTCGGTCTCTTTTCCCATGCAATTGTGTCTAAATCGATATTTTCGTATTAATTTGCTATTTTATGTGATTATATTCAAACAAAAAATGTTCAAAATCACAGTATTGTTTTGGTCGTAATCAATATTGCACGTCACAAAGTTATTAAGACAGGTTACGTGCAAGCAAACACCTGTAAATGGTAATTGCGTGCATTGTCATAATGATATGATATCCTTCACAATTGATTTCCGTCGATTATTTGAACCGAAGCTAGCTGGTTTTGATCAGAAACGATAATGATATTGTTATAGTGTTCACAGCATGCAATAAGTTCAATGATCGTGGTTATTTTACCTTCCTAATTAGTTTGAAGCAAGAACATATTCCAATAATTCCGCTTATAATACTATGATAAATCCAATAGTACATTGGAAAGCAATATGTCCCTTAGCAAATGCCAAAAAACAAAGGTTTCTACCTGAAAATCTAAATACGTGTTCTCTGACATCGTGAAAAACAATAAGTAGATACGTAATCATTGATATGCTGTATATGCTAGATTAAAATCTATCATCGATACTATATAACCGTTGTGTATACACTATTATCATAAAATAAAATAAACGGAAGAGAAAAAAAAATAGTTGCATATAGTACAATATTTGTTACGTCCAGTAGATAAATAGGAGACGACAGGGAAAAACACACTTTTCAAGATCAAATGACCGATATTTCTTAACGTTTGAAAATAATCAAGGTGAGTTTGTTGTTTAAATGTTTCATGTACATGTGGGGAAGCAATGGGTATTTCTGGGTCGCACACAATTGTTTTTGTATTCACGTTCATTCATCAAAAAGAGGACTTTATTTGTTAATTTCTAAAATCGTACACGGAAGAAAATATTGTATACCCACCTTGTGAGTAGCGATGTATCTGGTGACCATACACTCTGTACCGGTAGTCGAATTGTATTCATTCCGTTAAAATCAGTTGCATTCCACACAAGTCTATGGTCGTTCCAAGCCTTGAAGTATTAGCTAGGAGT